TATAATTGAAACAAAGTCTAATGCAAAATACCTCGGATTAGTTATATCTTCCGACCTTACTTGGTCATCTCATATCCAAATGATTTCCAAGAAAGTGTTTCGTCTAACCTACTACATTAAGAAACTCAGACTAACTGGAGTCCCTCAACCTCTGCTTTCACAATTTGTCAACTCTCGTATCCTACCTATTCTACTTTACTGTTCCCCGTTAGTCTTTCCTGGGTTACTGAAAAAGGATTATACCATCCTGAGAAGGATGTTGAAGGTAGTTAGTAGGACTAGCGGTGTAAAACTCAGTCAGCTCGTCACAACATTAGTGGATAAGCATCTGAATACATGTGAGAAATGGTCTAAAACCATACTCTCTGACCCCCAACACCCCCTCTATTCCCAACTCTCTCCTTGCATCTCATCAGGTAGAACCAGAAATCAGTACAAAATAATATATGCTCGTACAACCAAGTATAGGAACTCAACGATACCATATTTGGCCCGTGTTCTAAGTGACAGAGACAATGTTAAGCGTGAAACCTATGACTTGCTTTGTTGTTAATAACATAATTTTGGCCCTTGTTATTTCCCCCTTACACTCTCTTATTTGTACTCTATAGTGAACAACCTTCTTAAACATACTTAGCTGCTTAAAATTATTATCATTGGCTTACATTTTTATTCTTTATTCTATTCCTTCTTTGTACATCTACTGGGTCCGACTATATTATCACTATGATTATTAAAAATTGTCCCGTCATTAACCATCATGTAACATTAGTTTTGTGGTTGTTCTTTGTTCGGCACTATTTAACTGACAATCTTGTTTGTTATTGCCACTATCACCATCTTAAAAAATTTTGTATTATGCATGATTCCTCACACTACCACTACAAACAACCGCATTAGTGCTGACAATAAAAAAAACAACCTGAAATGTTTATCTTATGATTGCTTAGTGTTGTTCAATCAAATTAACTGATCATCTTGGCTATAAACATTTTTTAAGAACATCTCATAATTTCCCGTATGATTATAGCTGTTACTGTTCACCACGCATACACATATCGTAGCTTCCACTAACCAATACTGAAATATTTTTTCATTATTTGTGTTTATCTTCCTTTTTACTTGGTATTTTTATTTGCATTTTTTTGTTATTTCTGTGTTTCTTTTTTGGTTTTTTGTTGTTGTTTTTTTTGTTTTTTTTTAAATATTTTATTTTTTTTTTATAATACTCCTTTTAAATGTACGATGAAATTAGATGCAATATTGTAGATATGTGCTGAAAATTCCACACTGTACCACAAGTACTGTTTCTGGAATAAAGCGAAATTGTTATTGTTATTGTCGATATGTGGATGATACCTTTATTCTTTGTGATAACTGTTCTGATAGGAGTACAATAATTACTGAATTCAATGAAGTACATTCGGCTATGAAATTCACATGTGAAGAGGAATCCCAAGGCAGAATTGCCTTCCTAGATGTCTTGCTTACAAGAAAACCAGATGGCAGCATAAAAAGAAATTTGCATAGAAAGAGCACTTGGACAGGAAAATATACACATTTTTACAGCTTTCTTCCTATAAAGTACAAAAGAAATTTAGTGAAGACCCTCAGCCACAGAGTTAGAGATATGTACTCAGAAGAAGTAATTGAAGATGAATTAAGCATTGTATATGATGCTTTGATCGAAAATAGCTACCCCAACAAATTTATCAAGAAACACATGACAAAGAAAGCGGAAAAGGACTACTCACTACTCTTTATATACGACTGCATTTCAAGGGTGACGAATGCACCTAGTGAAATAATTACTAACAATTTAAGAAAATCAGTTCAGAGAACTTTTAATGCTGGCGAACTACACGTATTATTCTCAACACGACCGATGATGATTCCTCATATGAAGGATGAAGTACCTAGACTAGCCACTTCAAATTGTATCTACCAATTCAACTGCGCCTGTGGAGCGAGTTATATTCACCGTAGCTCTAGGAACTTCACTTTTTGTGCTCGCTAGAGAACATCTCCCACTATGGCTAAGTGAAGGTGTAGTTAAAACCATTAATAGTTCGATATTGGACCATCTGGTGCAAACCGGCCACAAAGCCCGCGTTGAAGAATCCTCCTCTGTCATCCACTGGGTGCCTAATAAATTGCCAAAATCATCGAAGCACCGCATGCTCCGAACAGCAGAGGCTATTGCAATTTGCCTCAAACAACCAGTGCTCTGTGTTCAAAAGAAGCAAGTCCAGCCTCTACTACTGCCCTGGTCGGCCTTCTGTAGGAACTATAAACTCATGGATTTGTATTATTATCTTTCCTGATTCTTCTGACATTCAGCTTATATTGTTATGTTGATACCATTTAGCTGTTATCTACCAATATTATTGATTCGATGTTACTTAAACAACATTAATGTTGTTCATAACCCTAATTCATTCATTCACTATAATGTATAAATAACTGTAGAGCCTGATGATGATGAAGTTATCGAAAAGAGAACTCTTTGTACAGTTTCCATTTTTTTTGAAAATTTTAATGAGAATCTTTAATCAGTTATTTAAGATTTCTTTGTTTCATTCATTTCTTTCGTTACTTCGAACCGCGTATGTCAATCTGTGTACAGCCACTGAACTAGATACGTTGGAGGAAGACACAGAATTGTTTACATTAGATATCCTGAACACATACGGAAAATTCTGTGAAAAATCCAGCCACAAGACATGTGATTATCACAGGACATCAGGAAGTCTTGAATTGCTTCAAAGATAATAGAGGCGACCACTGGCAAAAGATTAGACCCCGATACATGTTTACAATAAGAACAACTGTGTGAAGTCTTTCTTGGTCTTGATAGCTTAGTTTTCGGCTTTTAATTAACTATATTATTGGTTACTGGATTTCATCATGAGCTGACATCGGTTAGAGAACCATTGGAAGACCAGGGAGTACTGGGAGTCCAGTACTCCCAGGTACTGTACAATTGTTTCGTTATTTTCGAGACTCTTCATCACCACGTACCCACCGGGGTTACAAGACAAGCTCATAGACCATTAAGCCACTGGGACAAGATTCAATGACCAGACCAACTTCTGCCAGTTCACGATACAGTGCGACCACTAGTCGCCTTGTCGCCGAGTATTTGTCTGTACACCCAACCTGTTGTACTCCCCCCCCCCCATTGGTCAAAAGTTCTTACTAGAACCCAGGAAACTATCTACTTGAATAGGGCAAGTCGCTAGTCCCCCCCCCCACCCAGTTCTTCCAACTGATGTCAGCTCATAATGAAATCCTATTGCAATACAAATAAAATCCCTACAAAGCAACACTTAAACTAGAATACGTTAAAGTTGAAATAAAGCTATACAGGCAGTTAACAGTTGTCAAGATGCAAACGAAGTGAAATGCATTCAGTTTATCCCGCTCCATATGTTGTTTTTACTCTATTCAAGCACATAAAAAGTGATCATCATAGTGAATTTTATACTGTTATCCAACCACATCCATTTTTTTTTCAAAAACTCAAAACTTGTCAAATTAGTTATGATTCCACAAGATACTTCTATCCAAACATTTTGTCTATTTTTGTTATTTCTACATTTCTAACCCCCAATTGCACAATATTTCAATCTTCTCAGTAATTATGATGCTACTCTGTTTGAGTTTTATGCGTCCTCCTGTTTATTATGGTATTTTAATTCCTAACCTTAACAACCTAAAATAAATCAAAGTATACTTCATAAGGAGTCTAATTATTATTATCGAAACAAGTGATTCAACGAAAAGTCTCTTTTCAACAAATTTATTATCAAGCTGTACAATCGTATATACATGGGTTTTAAGAAGTTATAAAGGGTGAAGGAATTGAATCATAGGTGTGAATACATAAAATAAGGATAGTAGTATGAAATGCAATTCAAATGCTTGTAATTATAATCATAGTTCAGTGTGAAGTGGAAGAGCAATTGTTGTCATATATATAGAATAATTCATAGGATATTGACCAACTCTATGTGCATTTATCAATTCACCTGCTCGTGTGGAGTTGGGCGTATCGGTCGCTCGACTTTAGTTCTGTCCAACAGGGTGCAAGAACACTTTCCTGCATAGTTACGGAAAGGTGGAAGTGGAGCAATAAGAAGCGCGATCATTGAACATCTGGTCGATAATGATCACCCTATCTCTTCAGTCTCCGCCTTTAAAGTCATCTACAAGACGAACAGTCATTAGCTGAAATTACTACGTATCCGACTCATCTGTATTACTGAAGCTTTGGCTGTCGAAAGAGAAAACCCAGATCTCTGTATGTGGGGAAAAATTTCGTTAAACTCGTCCAGCTTTCATGATCTTAATCACTCTATGCTAAAGTGTAGTAATCCCAAATCATATTCTGGCTCTACCTATTTCTCGTTTTGTTTATTCAATTTGTATACTTTTCCTTTATTACGTCAATGGTTACTATTACTATTCTCACTTTGAATTGTCCTCGGTATTATTTCACTCGTTCCACTTGTAATCCTAAGCCAGTTTTGCTTTGTAACGTTAAATACTATGTCATCAAACTTCACACAATGTTACGTAACGTTTTTATTTTATTCTACTTGCCTACTAATCCTATAATTTCACGCGCCTTCCAAGTTCTATGCGTCCTATGAATTATTCTACATATGACATTAATTGCTCTTCCACTTCACATTGAACTATGATTATAATTACAAGCATTTTAACTGCATTTCATACTACTATCCTTATTTTATGTATTTACACCTATGATTCAATTCCTTCACCCTTTATAACCTCTTAAAAACCATGTATATGCGATTGTACAGCTTGATAATAAATTCGTTGAAAAGAGTCTTTTCGTTGAATTACTTGTTTTGATTTTTATTGGTTACAATGGGAATTTTCCATGAATTATTATTATTATTATTATTATGACTATTCAAAGCATACGATATACTTAACACATATAAAAAGTAACATATTATAAGTAAACTTACCTCCAACAAGTTTCATCCATCCTTGTAAACTTGAATTCGTCAAAAGTGCATGCATAGCTTCTTGTTTTGCAGTATCAAAAAAACTATGTTGTATTGTTCGAACAGCTGTTCTCTGAGCATCGCGTAGTTTTGACCGACCACTACCCAGTGCACCTGTTCCAGCATATATACGACTAACATGATCACCATTTAATTGCCATATCTATGAATAATATTGTTATACAACGTTATATGAATTAAATCTTGTAGACAAAAAAAATGTACTGCAAAAGAAAAACAATTATTATTCTTCTGCCTTTTCTATTTTCAATCTAATCTATAAATTGTTACTATATATATTAAAGACAGATTTCTCAAAGTTCTGACGACGACCTGCTATCAGTAGAGTTCATGAAGTCTACTGAGACAGCAGATAGTAGTCACCAACGACAATAAAATATATCAACATTAGTTTTGAACCAATGTATAGAGTAATGCCCAACACTTGTGGTATTTGAATGGAGTGGACGCATATACAAACGAAAAAAATTCCACACACAATGAAACACTTTCTTAGACTGCGATACTAACCACCATAAAAACCAATAACAAAATGAAACTAATATCAATATTGTATAATGAGATAGTGAATCCAATATACCAGCAGTTACTCGCCTGGAGTTAGGCAAGTCAACAGAAATTTGTTCACTGCATTCCTGATAATATATAAAGTTAATTTGAGATATTCAACTCTCTTATTATTGGTGTTTATTATCACCAATGATATTCCTAATTGTGGTGAACTGGACTATGCGTCAAACCGTGGGAAACGAGAAGACAGGGATATCCTCAACCGACCGATGTAAAGAACCTAGAAGACCTGGATTTCACGCGTGAATGATTTATGTTTGATGTCACACAAAACCGAAGACTCACAAGCGAAAACCAACAAACTGATCGAAGAAGCAGCTGGCGAAGACAAAACTCCAGGTGAACATAGACAAGAAGGAGGTTATGAAAATAACTCACCACCACCACCAACAACAAAAACAACAACAGAAGCGACATCCAGCGCCAATCACCATCGACAGGAGGAATTTGAAAGAGGTGACTTCATTCATTCACTTATCTAGGGAGCATTGTCTCTACTACAGGAGCAGGACGGACGGGGATGTCAAATCGAGCGAGAATCGGGAAAGCGAGAAACACATTCATCAGTCTGACTGAAAACAATCTGGGAAACCAATCTTCGTCACTCAGCCACCATCAACAACAAAATTCGGTCGGATTTTCAATACAAACGTCAAGTCAGTTAGTTCTTCTATACGAATCAGAAACTCGGCGGGAGGGTCACAAAGAATATTTCCAACAGCCTGTTGCACACCTTTATCAACCAACAACTGTCTTCGCTGGATCTATACTGAAGATCAGATGGCCGGGCCGGAAAGAATCACCAACAAGAAACTATGGGAAGAAACAGAACAAGAAGCAATCGCCAACCAACAAATATGCAGGAGAAAGTGGAGATGGATGGATGGGACACTCGCTGAGGAGGCCGCTGGATGACATCGCGTGCGCGTCAGGCCATTTCTCGAGTGGAACCACGCCGAAAGGGAAGTGGCGAGTGGGATGTCCAAGGATGGGTGACATGGAGGATATCGTGTGAAGAGGAGTTGAAACAGTATGGACTAACATGGATGGATTCAGGTGAAAAGTACAGGAGAAGGAAGACAGAAGCAAGTGAAGACGTGCAGTTGAAGCCCTATGTTGTACTAGGAACCGATGGGAACAATAATAATAATAATAAATATCTTCTGCTTAGTCAATAAATTCCATGGTAGCCAACATATATTCTGACATCTGTTCTCAAATCACCAAGCCCTACATACACACATACCCCACAGGGAAAGAATAATTTCCCAACTTAGACTTTCAAGAAATGACTGAAGATCAAAAATATACCTGACTGCGCGCATATATAATAATAACAGATTAAAGTTAGCATGATATAAAAGGAACTCTACTACTGATCGAATCTGTTTATTCAGCTGCTGTTAAAATTCTAAAATAATACTCTAATAATTTTTAAGCTAGTTTGAAATGAAGAATTGCCCACTTATAACTACTTTAAGCAAAAGTTTTATGCAAAAGCACTTATGCTGGAATAAGCTACTACATACAGTAGGAGATTTCGATCATAAAAATTAACTCTATTCCAATATTTGTAGAGAAAGTTTAAGAATAAGTATTTAGAATCATGTGATACATTGTTTTGAACTACCCTAAGATTTCATACATTTATTCCCCTTAATGAATTTGAACAAAGCAAGAACTACAGCTTTTGAAGAATAAAGTGGTACCATTTTTTATTTCGTTGCCTTCTCATCAGCTGCCTACAGAGCAAAGTCATTATTAAGTATATCCACATAAACAATTTTGACATACTTGCATAGAGTTCATTTTAAACAAAAATCAATCGATCAATATATGCATACAGCAATAATAATTACATATATTTATATATATGTAATAGTAAACACTATTCCGAACAATAATAATCATACACAATGGAAACTTTGCAGCATTACGTCATCAGATGAAAGAGAGGGCTTCAGCAAACTTGAGGAAACTTGAACTTTTTTGTCGATTGATAATTTTGAACGACTTTTCGACGTCCACTTCATGACCTGTGTCAAGGAGATGCCTGTCGATGGCACTGTTTAAAGCATTTGTTCCCTTTAGACATATAAGCTTTTTGGTACATGCCCTTGGAAGGACTATTATTGTTCGGAATAGTGTATAATATTACATATATATGTAATTATTATTACGGTATGCATGTGGTGAGAGCAGTCTGCTAGCCAATTGGTTGACATTAATCTACGTCAATGTCTAGGTCACTAATATGGGCCGTGAGAAAATATGAACAAGGCTGCTTCAACAACCAATCACAGCAGACTTAAGCGTGGGCAAATATGATTCGCAGATAGATGGCTCTACTTTACGAGGAACTCGAAAACAACCAATCAGAAGACTGCGTTTGTCTACTTGAATAAACTCTAATAATGTACATAAAATATATATAAATACGTGCTGATTTCCGTAATAAAGTGATCTGTTGCCAGCCCTTGTCTTCTGTTGTTACATGCATATATTGATCGATTGATTTTTGTTTAAAATGAACTCTATGCAAGTATGTTAAAATTGTTTATGCAGATATATTTAATAATGTCTTCGGTCTGTAAGCAGCTGACGAGAAAGCAACAAAACAAAAGATGGTACCACTTTAATCTGCAAAAGCTGTAATTCCTGCTTTGTTCAAATACCCTACGATTATCTGATTGGTCTCAATTAGTTTTGTTCTTATTCTACACAATAATATACAACCATTGGCAGTACACCATAGAGAATTTCACTCAGAATACCTTCTAGCTAAAGAAAAAAGACTATAAAAAAAGGTCAAGAAACAAAAATGTACCTTTTGGTAGTTTTGCTATTGTCTAGTCCAGGCTTTTCATTTCGTCGATAGTGCACAAACATCTAAACATCACTTATAATAATGCTGTATTTTTTTGAAAAAAACCCTTAATAATTGGACTGTTCATTATGCTTATGTAAATAACTGCTGACCTTAATTCCTGTGCTATTGAATTCTTCAGATTACACAGAATGCTTTAGTGATTCAGGTTGTTGCTCCTAGTACTGAGGAGATGATGATTCTTTTATTCATAACAGATAGTTGGCAGTTTGGATATTGTTTCATCCAGCTCTATGGGTCACTGTTATTTTCTAACATTATACGAATATATCTCCTGTCTTGTTTAGTTTTCTTTTTTAACCGTTATGGATGTCTACGTTACTAGTAACAACGAAATGCAGTGGTTATTAGGAGTAGGAAAATCTTCCTAGTCACGATGAATTTGAGCTGTGTGAGTTCACTTCCGTTTAAATCACGACTGTACGCTTTTATTAACAGATTTGATAATGAGTTGACGTTAGTTAGGAAACCACTGGAAAACCAGGGAGTACTGGATAGCTAGCTATCTTATCCCAGTTTTGGACTCTTCATCAGTACGCACCCACCGAGGTCCAAACCTAAAACCTTCAGATCACAAGACGTGCTCATAGACTATTCAACCAATGGAACCCTAACCAATGGCTCATAAATTCCAACCTTTGCAAATTCACAATATATAGGGCAACCACTGGTAATTGTATGGACCCACACAAAAAGCCAGGAGGATCTGAACTTCGCCGGTAATGATATAAGTCTGATCTCTCACAAACTGGAAGACATGCAAGTGAAAAGCAACAAGTTGACAGAAGAAGCATCCCGAGAACTTCAGGTGAAAGTAGAGAATACAGAGGTAGGTGATGAAGATTCCTGGCCAACACCAACAGCAACAACAACAACTTACAACAATCAGCATACGTGGGAGGAACCTGAAAGTATCAAACTCCACCACCTACCTACCTGGTAAGCATCGTTTGGACTACAGGCGGACGGAACTGCTGAGGACATCAAAGCAGAGAGGATCGGGAAAGCAAGCCAAGTTTTCTGTGGAGATCAACAGCACTCAACATGAAAAACAAGATACGGACTTTCAACTCCAAAGTGAAGTTAGTGCTACTATACGGATCAGAGACTAGGCCAGTGGGTCACGAAGGAAACTTCGAACACACTGAAGCCCTTCATCAACAGCTGTCTTCGCCCAATACTACTCAAGATCAGATGGCCAGCCAGAAAAGATCAGTTATAGGGATCTCTGGCAATGATCGAACCAACCCAGCAGGAGCCGATTGTACAAAAAATATGCAGGAAGAAATGAAGATGCATTGATTGACCATACTCTGAAAAAACAAACCATCAAATGACAAGACAAACCATCGCTCTAGTGGAACCCGAACGGGAATCGGAGAGTTGGTCGTCAGTGCGAGGGTTGGGTGACACGGAGGAGGTCATGTGAAGAGGAGATGAAAGCATGTGGGCGAGGTGAAAATGTTGGCAGAGAACCGAACGTAATGGAGACGTGCGGCCGATGATAAACAGTCATTGTCACTGGCGAGTAACTGTTCTCTTATCTGACTTGGTAGACCACACTGGTGACAACTTCTCACTGGAACTCCGCGTAACTTCTTGTACAGCACTACTGATCATTAGCGAGCACTAATATCAATTTTCAAGTATTGGTTTGCAGGCGTTTGATTGGTTACAGGTTACTGCTATCATTTACTTAAAACTGTTATTCATATACCTAATGTACAAGAAACCTTTGAATAAAAGTTGAAATCTATCTTCACAAAGTATGAGCAGGATGGCTAGCCACGTAAAGGGTTTGGCAAGAAATATCGATCTAGAGAGCCCGAGAAAAGTGCAGTTGTAACCAGCCTTGGAAAATATTCTAACTTCACTATCTAGTAAAGCAGAATTATAAATGAGAAACAACGTCTAAAATGGTGTCGATGGTACAGTTCACAAACAAATAATAAATGCAAATAAGTAAAAAAGCTTCCGAAAAAAACATATTCACTATCCAATTTGTAACTGTCTACCAGGATATTAAAACTTCTTTCTTGCGAAATAACTGTGAATACAGATCACATTCATCGGTTAACACCAGAAATAGAACTATGAAAGTAGTTAGAGTTTAGATGACACATTTTAAACTACTTTTAGTGAAGTATTTATAAAGTGTGTACTATTGCAGGTTATACACAAATAAACGTGACGAATATCTCAGCCTATAAATAAATTAGCATATTTAACGTCAACTGTATATATAATTGTCGAATAAAAATTATCCTGATAGAATGCAATAATAACGTGAATTGTCTGTGTTTATAATATGAATACATTTCAGTATTCAATAATAAAAAATAGCTGTGCAGACTATGTTCTTGATATTACAGTCACGAGTACACGAATAAATATCGTAATAGCAAATTACTTCATGTGCACACACTCATATCTCAGTAACTTTCTTTTGAAATTTTGCATAGAGTCACTTCAAAACAAACCATGCAAACAATAGAAGTTCGAAAAATTTAACTTCTAGTTGAGATACGTGAAGATTGAAACTATCGATTTTCATCATTTAAAAAGTATACAACCAGTGGCTCAATGGTCTACGGGCTCGCCTTGTAACCAGAAGCTTCAGGGTTCGAACCCTGGCGGTGGGTGCGTACTGCTGAACAGTCCCAAACTAGGCTGATGAAACAGCTGTCAAGTACTCCCTGCAGGTTTTCCAGTAGTTCTCTAACTGAGGTCAGCTTATGATGAAATCCTTCATCCAATCAAACAAAATCCCTACAAAACCAATACTTGAAGACTATGTCTCTGATTGGATCATATCTCAACATCTCGATATAGCAAAAATATTCATTGAGAAATTTAGAAAAACAAAAAAAATTTTAGCAAACAATATCCTTTTCGAGAATGTCTTCATGAAGAACTTAATATATATAAACAGCTCTTGAGTGAAAACCGTTATCCAGAAAAATTCATTGATAAGAATATGAATCAAAAATCAAGGCCCAGCTTCTGTTTTCGATAATGGTTGTGTCGACAGATTAACTACGCAATCATTCAGAGTTTCTTCAGATGGTTATTTGGATATCTTAGCTAGTTTTCCTTTGAGGACAACTCGTCTTCGTTCCTTGTGTCGTTCGCCTAAAATTTTAGTGGCAGTATTCAATGTTGACAGATGTTCTGGGATGAGAGTCCGTTCAACCTTTTCTTTCTGAAATCTAATCATATGTTGGTATTTTTTAATCCTATATTGTGTGCATCCACGATCATTAATTTCATATTTTGTTTTCCGTGATGCTTGGCTAATTTGCAGTCTAGAGGGCAGTTAATTGGTGGTTTATATTTGACACTAGTTGGTAGAATCTGCTGGTGGAGATATTCTTGAAGAAAGCATGATTGTCCTTCTTTAGGAACTTGCCTTTTGGCAAAGCCTTCCCCTTTTCAACAACACAGAAGCGTACCACGCTCGTACGATTTTAAAATAATTGAGGAAGATTTGTAGCTCAGGTGGATGATTTTCAATTAATAGTGTTCTCTAAGCTAGTTGGTTTAGTTGAAAATCATCCACCTGAGCTACAAATCTTCTCTATTATAAGTTAGGCTTCTTAATGTGGATCACAACGACCAGCCTCAGCATTATGTTGTAGACGAACTCTTAAGGTGGAGTTAAGATTTGTTGGTATGCGGTAAATGACTCTGAAAGCCTGGTTGATATCAATCTTGTGTTCTATATCCAAAAGATGAGATAGAATAGCGCTATGAATGGATTTTGTTTGTTCATTACTTAACCACCCAGTGTGATGTTCGGAAATCGGACAAGAAACACGCCCAACTGTACGGCCTATGTACGATTAGAAGAAGTGTATATAGAAAACCTACAACAACTGGTCAGTATACACACTTTTTCAGCTTCGTGCCTTTGAAATACAAACGCAGTCTGACAAATTGCTTGGTTCACAAAGCAAGAGCAATCTGCTCTGATGAATGTCTTACTGAAGAGCTCAATATTATTGAACAGGTGCTGAGTGAGAAGGGTTATCCAGAAAAATCCATTGGTAATAATATGAATCAAGAAATCAAGGCAATCTAAGGTACTAACAGTTCCGAGAAAGGCCTTATTTTTACAAATTTAGTCTGTCGGGGATAACATCAGCGAGATACTAACACAATGCCTTAGAAGTGCGATAAAAATAGCATTCAGTGCTGCTGAATTACGCTGCGTCTTCGAAACCATTCCTCGTTTGCGTTCGGAAATAAAAGATAAACTGCCCAATTTCACCTCTTCCATGTGCGTCTACCAATTTAACTGCTCCTGTGGAGTGAGCCAGTTACATAGGCCGCACAATTACGCGTGTTTCTCGTCCGATTTGCGAACATCAACCTGTGTGGTTAAGTAAAGGATAAACAAAATCTATTCACAGCGCTGTTTTATCTCATCTTGTGGATATAGAACACAAGATTGGGGTTACCAAGATGGCTTTCAAAGTCATTTACCGCATACCAACAAATCTTAACTCCACCTTAAGAGTTCGTCTACTACATATTGCTGAGGCTGGCCGTTGGGATCCACATTAAGAAGCCTAACTTATGTGTCTAAATGGAGCTGGTTCAGACATTGTCCTCACCTTGGCCATCAAGGTTCGAATGACCCTTAACTTTTTATTGTACGGATTTCCTTAATTTTATTTGATATTCTATTTGCTATTATACTTGTATGCTTATTATAATTTAACCATCTTTAATGAGCTGTAATTCCATTGATTTTACTTGGGAAATCGATATTATTTAAAAAAAACACTAATATTGTTATTGACGACTATTCTAGAATATTCTATTTATATAAATATACATATAATTGTAGTCAGAAGAATAAATTATCAAAAAAGGATATCTTCTGCTCAATTTCTTTTAGATTGAATATGTGATTTCACCGGATAATAGTGATATAATAAAGACAATTGGGGATAAAGTGCATGTACCATTAGAAGTTATCCATACACACACACAACAACAACAACAACAAAAGAAAAAACAATAAGTCAACTCACCTGTCTTAGACTATCAACAAACCGATTCAATAAAACAGACTGATCATTTACATTTAAACCTAAACTATTAAGCATTTTAGGAAGAATTAATTGAACTCCAACAAGTGTTTGAATTGCATTTGTTCTATCCAAACAATCAACACAATTTATTCGTAGCTGAGAATAAAAATGGAAGGAAAAAATACAATGAAATAAAAATTTAACAAATCACTGCATTTTATAAAAGAAAGTGGTTGTGAAAGGGGAGTTCAATTAAGTAGAACTTTAAAAAAATAGGCTACACATATCCACCAGCATTCATAGACAAAAACACGAAAAAGAGAAGCCTCCGTCACCAAAAATCACAACTGTTCTAAAGAAAGCCCTCTTCATCAACCTGGAATTCAGAAGTGACATCGAAGCAAAAATTCTTCGAAACCATCTTTCTAAATGTCTGCAGAAGACACTTCAACCAGACACCTTACGTATCACATTCTCCAGAAGACAGTTAATCCAGTCTACCGCTTTCAGCCACCTCAATGTGGTGTATTTATCAGTTTAATTGCTCGTGTGGAGCAAAGTATATCGACCGTAAGCAACGTCAAGTCCACAAACATATTCTCGAACATTGTCCAGCTTGGTTAGCCAGCCAGAGGAGGAAAGAAGAAGAATAGTAGCTCCATCCTCGAACACCTTGACCATTCTGAGCATCGAACACTCTCACTTGCATCAATGCTTCACAGTACTACACAGAGTCTCTCAATATCGCACAAAGTGACTTCGAATACATCATCTGGACATAGCTGAACCCCTGGCTATTCGGGATCTGAAAACATACCTATGCATTCATAAGCACTGCATACATTCACTCACCCTACCGTGGCTAGAGTAACGTTCTTACTATAATTTTGCTGTTTTTTATTATGTAAGTTTACCATTATGGTTGATATTATTATTTTACTACTATTATTATTTTCATCATCCATATTTTATTACTACTCCATTACTGTTTGTTAATAACAGTGCATTTTCATACAGATTTTCTAAACACACTTCATCGTCTTTCCACTATTTTCTGTTCATTCTACACGAGCTTACTGTTTAGTCATTATCTCACACTTATTATGTCATGCCAACTTCTGCCTCTTTTCTAACTTACAACTAATTATCCCTTCTTACACCTTAGATTATGTAATACATTTTTCGAGGACAAAGTTTACCAGTATCTGATTGGTCTACAGATTGCTTTGTTACATATAATTACGATTGTACAGCTGCTTATGAAAATGAATCGTCAAAAAGGGAAAATTTTCTTCGCTGTTTACGCCTGTTTCTTATAAAATTAAAATAATTTCATACAAATATGTGCTAAAGTGAAAATACACAGATTTAAGAAAATATTTATGAATGATCAAACGCTACATTGCCATAAACAATGTAGTTTTTATTTATGATTATAACATTTATCCTGAAAAAAACCATAGCATCAACTACCAAATACTGGGATACTACTTATTATGTTATTTATTTTCCTTTATATGTCTTGGCATTTTTTTTGTTACTTTTGTTTTTGTTGTTGTTTTTTATTTATTTTTTGAAATACTCCTCTTAAACGTTTGGTAAAATTAGATGCAGTATTGTAGATATGTGCTGAAAATTCCACACTGCATCACTAGTACTTTTTCTGGAATAAAGCAAATCATTATTATTATTATTCACTGATATATATATATATATATATATATATATATATATATATATATATATATATATATATATATATATATATATATATATATATATATAAACTGATATATGATCCACTTGTAGGTTATTTTGAAAACTCAAAATATTAACGGTGCATAACAGCTAAAGTGGCTGGCTTATTTATCTGTCAATTTCACTATAGAGTGAAATTCAACATCACTCAACATTGAACATTACATCAGGAGGCTACTGACACTAACTCAATATTCAGATTCTGAATAAATCCAACAAGAGGTCAACAGGTTGACAGATTATACCAACCAATTAACCATAAATCATAATGACATTTCCAACCGAAAAATGTATTACAATGGTAAATGCAGAAAGTTTTGTCAAAACTAAAGATCTTCCACAATATCACGTATTATTATTATTGCACCCTAGGGTTCCAAGTACAACATAGGGCTTCAACTGCACATCTCCACTTGCTTCTGTCTTCTCCTGTACTTTTCACTTGCATCCATGTTGGTCCATACTGTTTCAACTCCTCTTCACACAATATCCTACATGTCACCCATCCTTGGACATCCCACTCGCCACTTCCCTTTCGGCGTGGTTCCACTCGAGAAATGGCCTGACGCTCGCGCAATGTCATCCAGCGGCCTCCTCAGCGAGTGTCCCATCCATCCATCTCCACTTTCTTCTGCATATCTGTTGGTTGGCGATTGCTTCTTGTTCTGTTTCTTCCCATAGTTTCTTGTTGGTGATTCTTTCCGGCCCGGCCATCTGATCTTCAGTATAGATCCAGCGAAGACAGTTGTTGGTTGATAAAGGTGTGCAACAGGCTGTTGGAAATATTCTTTGTGACCCTCCCGCCGAGTTTCTGATCCGTATAGAAGAACTAACTGACTTGACGTTTGTATTGCAAATCCGACCAAATTTTGTTGTTGATGGTGGCTGAGTGACGAAGATTGGTTTTCCAGATTGGTTTCAGTCAGGCTGATGAATGTGTTTCTCGCCTTCCCGATTCTCGCTCGATTCGACATTCTCGTCCGTTCCGACTACTGCCTGTAGTCGAGACAATGCTCCCTAGATAAGTGAATGAATGAAGTAAACTCTTTCAAATTCCTCCTGTCGATGGTGATTGGCGCTGGATGTTGTCGCTGTCGTTGTTGTTGTTGATGGTGGTGGTGGTGGTGGGTTATTTTCATAACCTCCTTCTTGTCTATGTTCACCTGGAGTTTTGTCTTCGCCAGCTGCTTCTTCGACCAGTTTGTCGGTTTTCGCTTGTGAGTCTTCGATTTTGTGTGACATCAAACATAAATCATTCACGCGTGAAATCCAGGTCTTCTAGGTTCTTCACATCGGTCGGTCGAGGATATCCCTGTCTTCTCGTTTCCCACTGTTTGACGCATAATCCAATCCACCACAATTAGGAATATCATTGGTGATAATAAGCACCCTTGTCTGACTCCTGTGTTTACCCGAAACGCCTCGCTGAGTTTTCCGTTGTGGATCACTTGACATGTTCCGTTGTCGTACAGCTGTTGAATAAGGTTGATGAATATCTGGGCACTGCACGCAGTAGTACTCGAGTAGTTTCCAAATTACTTCTCGGTCAACGCTGTCGAAGGTCACAATACCATGTAGGTGATTTTATTCAATGATAAGCCCCAAAGCTATCAGTTTCTGAGATATTCAGTCAACAACAGTAGTCATATCAGATGATGAATATTTGCTTATGTAAAAATGTCTATATTATAAATAATGATTACACTGCAACCCAATCTTGTTGATGGAACAGCAATGTCAGAAGCTTTTCTGACTAGTTCTCAAGGTTCGCTTATGATGCGGTATAGTAGAAGGAAGAACAGTTGAGTTTCTAGTTAAGCATCTTCTGCTTCATCATGACTCCCTATATAAGGTCCAGGAGACTATTTGACTCAATGACACAAGGCGTTATTAAAAATGGTCCAGAATCGGAATTAGTGGCGCAAAACGATGAAAAATTCCTCCATTTCTTCTACTTAGGAAAGTAATAATTAAGCAAACAATGCTCCGGTGAATAATAATCTTCATCAAAATTGCTTTCTTGGCCAAGTTAAACTTAACGCACCATCACCTACCAATCAGCGAATGACCTCAAATGGTCCAATGAGGTTTATGAACATGAGTTTAAGGTTGTATAGCGCTTGATTCGTATCAAATGCCCGCTTTAACGAAGTTACGCTTGCAGTTTGATGAGAATAAGGTTTTGCATTACTGCCTGGATTTAGGATTGCTTACGAAGACAAGGATTTGTTCATGTGGTGGTGTCATGAGTTTAAAAAGCTTAAGCAGCCCGATTGATGGATATGTCCGTCGATGTGTAATTTGCCTGAGACGAATTAGTATTAGGGATGGTAAGCTGATAATTTTAATATTTTGTAGGAAGATTTTTTGCAAGGTCCCACCTGTCATTAACCCAGATTTTGCATATTTGCAGCTACTGGGTTTTAAAACAGCCTGTGAGAGGCGCAGCTGCTGAAACTGAAAATAGCCTCGTGTCAACAGTTCAGTGGTACCAGCACTGCAGAGACATCGCGTCATGGAAAGTGAGGTGTCGTCTTACACGTGGACAAAACTGTCTTATTAAAGAAAAAGTACAACCGTGGTCGTGAGAAAGCCAACAATGTTTGGGTGGTCAGTTTATATGACGCCTACCTGTGAAAAGAATTCGTGGAGAGGATACCAGACAGAAAGTCTACTACCTTAGCACCTATTATCACTCCACTTGTGAAACAGGGATCCATAGTACATACTGAATAATGGAAAGGTTATAACTCGCTGTCATCTCTTGGATACATTCATCACTGAGTGAACCATTCTAAAGATTTTGTGGATCCACGTACAGGGACACACACGAATTCTATAAAAGGATTTTGAGAAAGATTAAAAAAGAGGATTGGGGCTATAAGTGGATCTCAAAAGGATCTTATTTATAGTCATTTGGATGAATATATGTATAGTATGTGGTGTGATTTTTCTATTGACACTCCTATGCTAAACTGGGAGATGTTTATGTTACAGAAAGATACACTATATAACAGTTTTAAGCAGTTTTTATGCTTTTATCTATAAATATACGTTTTCCTTAATCAAAAATCCCTCTTTCATGCGATCGGTCCGTTTAAGGTCGTTCACTGATTGGTAGTTACTGGTGCTTAAAGCTTAATTTTGCCTGTGTAGCGCGTCTCCTACCACATGTACTCACTGCACAAAGCGTTTGTTTCCAATAGTAATAACAATAAAAAAAGTATTAATTTGATCCAGTCGTCTAAAATATAAATAATTAGTAAGTATTCACAAAATTTAACACTAAAGTGTTTTGCGAATACAAAGAGTGTCCGACACGAATCCAACACACAAGGTCACTAAACATTTTTTTATAGGATCAATTAATTAGCAGAAAAAAAAACTTTTACTCCGGC